TAATTTAAGGAAATATCTCTACACAAAATCAATCTATAATTAAGATCAAGGTTAATAAGGTAAGAAACAGTTTTCAGAATCAATTAGGAATTAGGACACACAATCAAGCCAATAATACGGATACATAAATAGGGTAAGAACAAGTAAAACTTAAATAAGGAAATATGGATTCTAAATTCAAACCCTAATTTAGGTAAGTAAATCAATTAACAACTTAATTGACAGATTTAAAGGTAACAGGCATAAGACCACAAGATAAATAGCCAGAGAATCAAAACCCTAGGATATGTCAAAGGCATAGAGATGAAACTCAAAAAGGATCGGTCGAAATAGTAAAGAAGAAAACCATAGTTGAAAACTTTTAAATGTCTAAGCATTTTCATAGAAAACCCATTAGAGATCAAACCCTGGGGTAAAATAAAATCGTTTAACAATAATAGTAAAAGCAGAAAATCTTTAAGGAAAATACCAAACAAAATCAAAACCATCTCACATCTAAAGAGATCTAAACAGATTTAACAAAAATAGCTAGGTTTATGAATAGAGGTAGAAAATCTGGTTCGAACTAGAGATTTAAAGTCACGAGAACACGAAAATGATAGTACTCACAGACATAGGGTTGAATATAGGAGGATTAATCGAAAAGACGAAAGATTTGAACCAAATCTGGTTCGAATCCCTTGAGATCCCATTAAGTAACATGAAAATCGAACAACTAGTAGAGGTAAGGGGTAGGATACGACAGTAAATCACCAAATGATTCCATATCCGGTTGGGAATCAAAGGAATTTGGGGGGAGTTTTTGAGAGACGACACTCTAGGGTTTGAGAGCGTCTGAGAGAAGAGAGGAGAAGAGGGCGGCGGTGTCTGAGAGAAATGGGTAGTTTTGGGGTTTATTGAATTTAAAAGGTAAGAAATAACGTGGACCGTTGATCTTAAAGATCAACAGCCACGATCAGAGGGGGTTCTGGGTCAGGTTGGACGGGTATTTGGGTTGGGTTAGGTTAGGAAATTTAATTAAGAAAGGGCTATGTTTTAAATACCTATTTAATTTAATAAAATAAAATAATAAAATAATTTATAAATGATAAAAATGTGATTTATGCATTAAAATGATTTAAAATAATTTATTAACATTTTAAAAATATAAAGAGTCATTTTCTGTATAGATAATGTAATTATACATATGCATGGGCTATTATTGCAAAATATGCAATTATAGTCTTAAAAATGCAAATGTAATTATAAAAAATGCGATTAAAATAGTTAGACACTTATATGAGCATAAATGATAAATTTATATGATTCAATCATCATAAAGTAATATGAGTGATAATTATTGAATATTTATATAATTAAGAATGCAGAAATAAATTTATTTAAGTCTTTTAAAAATTATAGAAAACTTGTAAAAATACTTGTGCATGTTTGTAAACGCGTGTATAATATTTTGAAACTATGTATGCATATTTAAAAATATATGAGGGAAAAATTGAGTATCAACAGTTACAGTAAAATAAGGGTGTGTTATGATACTAATATCGTTACATGGTGGGATCGGGTTGCGCGGCGCAACATATCTATATATATTATCTTTGTTGTTGATGTTGTTATAGTGAAATAAGGGAGGATTTTGTATTGTATGGTGGGATCAGGTTGCGCGCCGCAACAACCTATGTGTTTCTATTTCCTCGAGCTGTGTTGGTTTTCGGTGTTGTTGTTGAAACTCTAAGGACTAGTAACTCTGGACGGAACTGGTTTATTTCTTGAGGCTGTAGTTATTATTTTCAGTTGACTATTTTATCATGTTCCGTATTTCCATTTTCTATCATTATTCTATACTGCGTACAGGTTGTAGTGTAGGTGACCCGCCTTAGCCTCGTCGCTACTTCGTCGAAGTTAGGATCGGCACTTACAGAGTACATGAGATCAGTTGTACTCATAATATACTCTGCATTTCTTGCACAAATTTTGGAGTCGGTCCCAGTGGCTGCTACTAGTGAGCTCGAATTGGACAGCCTTCAGGGACTTGAGGTACAACTGCTCAGCACCCGTAGCTCCTGGGGTCCCCTTCTTTGTTTTTATTTAGCTGTGTATCTTCTTTTTAGATGGCTTTATGTTATTTCAGACCCTTGTATGTACTATTCTAGTAGCTCGTGCATTTGTGACACCGGATTCAGGGATGTATTAAACGTTTGGCTATTTTAGCAACCAGAACTCATCAAGCTCGTTAAGTTGTAGCAATCTCTTCTCACCGGCTAAGTCCATCTTCATATTTAGCTTTTTAATCTCCAAATAGGCTTTGTGTTCAAGCTCAATGGGCAAATGACACGCCTTCCCATAAACTAACCTGTACGGAGAAGTACCTATGAGAGTCTTGTATGCAGTGCGATATGCCCATAATGTGTCGTCCAGCTTCCCTGCCCAGTCCTTTCTATTTCCACTTACTATTTTCTCCAGAATCTGCTTTACCTCTCTATTTGAAACTTCAACTTGACCACTCGTCTAGGGATGATAGGCAGTGGAAACCTTGTGTTTAACTCCATACTTTTCAAGAACATTATTCAACAATTTATTACAGAAGGGAGTTCCTCCATCACTTATCAACACTCTTAGAGTCCCAAAGCGTGTGAAGATGTGCTTCTTTACAAAGCTTACCACTACTTTTGCATCATTAGTAGGAAGAGCAATGGCCTCCACCAACTTAAACACATAGTCGACCGCCACCAAGATGTACCTGTGACCATTAAAGTATGGGAATGGTCCCATGAAATCGATCCCCCAAACATCAAAAAGCTCTACTGCCAGTATATTCTATAAAGGCATCTCATGCTTTTTCGTGATTGTTCCGTTTCTTTGGCATCTGTCACACATTTTAACAAAGGCATGTGCATCCTTAAACAATTTTGGCCAATAAAAAACAGATTGTAGCACCTTTCGAGCGGTTCTATCCCCACCGTGATGACCTCCATATGGAGAGTCATGACAGTCATGCAATATTGCGTGCATCTCCTCCACGGGAACACACCTTCGTACTAATTGATCTGCACAATGCTTATATAGGAATGGCTCATCCCACATGTAGAACCTCACATCATGTAGAAATCTTCTTCTATTATCAGATGTCAAATCTGGTGGTGTCACCCCACTTGCAATAAATCTCACATAATCTGCATACCACGGGGCTTCACTTGAGGTGATTTCTAATGGTTGCTCATCAGGAAATGTTTCTTTGATTGACTCTCCCTCAGCTACATGGCTCCGATTTTCTAATTTGGACAAGTGATTAGCCACTTTATTCTCTGTCCCTTTTCGATCTCGGATCTCTAAGTCAAACTCTTGTAGGAGGAGGACCCAACGAATCAGCCTTGGCTTGGCGTCTTTCTTTTCAAACAAGTATCTGATAGTTGAATGATCTATGTAGACGATGACTTTGGTTCCCACTATATAGGATCTGAACTTGTCAAACGCCCACACCATTACAAGCAACTCTTTTTCAGTAACTGTGTAGTTCATATGGGCTGGATTTAGAGTTTTGCTCACATAGTAAATGGAGTGAAAGATCTTATTTCTCCTTTGCCCCAAAACAGCTTCGATTGCTATGTCACTCGCATCGCACATCAACCCAAATGGTTGCTCCCAATCCGGAGCAATGATAATTGGTGCAGTCACCAACATTCCCTTCAACTCCTCAAATGCTTTCAGACAGGCATCATCAAACTTGAAGGGGACATCTTTCTCAAGAATCCTGCACAAAGGAGAAGAGATTTTCGAAAAATCTTTAATGAAACGACGATAAAACCTGCATGGCCCAATAAACTGTGAATGCCTTTGATGGACGTCGGTGGGGGCAATTTTTCAATCGCTTCCACCTTTGCTTTGTCCCACTGCAAACCATTTTTGGACACCTTATGCCCCAAAAATATACCTTCACGTACCAAGAAATGACATTTTTCCCAGTTTAGCACCAGGTTCGTCTCTTCACACCTAGCAAGCACTTTATCAAGGTTCATTAAATAATTAGCAAAAGATCATCCAAACATAGAAAAGTCATCCAAGAACACTTCCACAAATCTTTCAACCATGTCATTAAAATTAACCATCATACACCTTTGAAAAGTCGCGGGTGCATTACATAGACCAAAGGGCATTCTATTGAACGCATACGTGCTATAGGGACACGTAAATATGGTGTTCTCTTGGTCCTCTGGGGCTATAGCAATCTGATTATAACCCGCATAACAATCTAAGAAACAATAGTATTCCTGGCTAGCTAATCTATCAAGCATTTGAGCAATAAAGGGGAGGAGGAAGTGGTCCTTTCGAGTGGCATTGTTCAATTTTCTATAATCTATGCAAATTCTCCACCCAGTGACAGTTCGTGTGGGAATCAAGTCATTATTTTAATTGACCACTATAGTTATCCCCCCTTTCTTAGGTACACATTGAACGGGGCTTACCCATTTGCTATCCGAGATTAGAAATATAATACATGCATCAAGCCACTTAATCATTTCTTTTCTTACCACCACTTTCATAATTGGATTTAGTCGGCGTTGTTGCTCTACACTTGGCTTGTGTCCGTCCTCCATGAGGATTTTATGTATGCAAAAAGCTGGACTAATGCCCTTAATGTCAGACATTGTCCACCCAATTGCTTGCTTGTGCTCACGTAGCACTCTCAACAGCTTCTCTTCCTGCAATTTAGACAAGTCAGAAGAAACAATAACAGGTAAAGTGTCAGAATCACCCAAATAAGCATATTGAAGGTGAGGAGGCATGGGTTTAAGCTCCAATTTTGGAGCTTCCTCAATTGACAGCTTTGGAGGAGGCCCACTTGGCCTATTCAGGGGCTCAAAGGGGTGTATCCCTTGCATGTAAGCACAAGATGCATCTAGGATATGCATCATCTCATCAACCTCATCATCAATCTCCAAGCTATTGAACAACATAAGTGCATTCTCTAGAGAATCGTCTAGATATACACTCGTGTCAAGAATTTAGTCATCAACCTCCACAACAGATATCATTGAGAGCTCCTCATAGTGGCGGGGAAGTTGGATTGCTTTGTAGACATTAAAGACTGCTTCCTTGCTATCCACCCTCAAAATCATTTTTCCCTCTCTCACTTTAATAATTGCATCACCAATAGCCAAGAGAGGTCGTCCCAATATGATTGGAACCAATTCATCAGCCTCATAATCTAGGATAATGAAGTCTGCATGAAAGATAAATTTCCCAATTTGCAGCGACACATCTTCAATCACTCCCTCAAGATGTGTTATGGACCTATCAGTCAGCTGCAACATCACAGTAGTTGGTCTTGGAGCTCCCAGACCCAATTTCTTGAACAAGGATAAGGGCATCAGATTTATGCTTGCCCCAAATCATAAAGTGAACGACCAACATCAATATTACCAATTTGCACAGGGATGGTGAAGCTGCCAGGATCCTTAAGCTTTTGAGGGAGCTTGTTTTGGACCCTTGAAGTGCACTCCTCAGTAAGTGCAACTGTCTTAAATTCAGTCAATCTTCTCTTGTGAGCCACTATATCTTTTATGTACTTAGCATACTTTGGAATTTCACGAAGTATATCCACAAGTGGAATATTGAACCTGGCTCAACATAGAGAGAAATTTGCTGAACATGCGATCATCATTCTTTTTCTACAATCTTTGGGGGAAAGGTGGTGGTGGCCTTATAGCCTCCACTGGCTCTGAAGTTACATCATCTTTATTTGACTCATGTGTTGCTTTAGGAATCAACTCCCCCTCACGTATAGGCTTGTCCTTTCTCTTCTTTGGCACTTCCTCTAGTTCCCTCCCGTTTCTAAGCGTAACTGCATTAACTTGAGAGTTCTTCTCTGTATCATTGGGGAGGGCCCCTGCAGGTCTAGTATTTTGACTTGCTGCTAATTGCCCCATTTGCCTCTCAAGATTTCTAAAATCGGTTCTGAGTTGTTGATTGTCAAGCAACAACTTCTTTAGCAAGTCATTCGTACTCTCTTCCATTTGTTGGGGTGGCTTCTGAGGTTGATTGAAATTTTCTTGGGGTATTTAATAATTCTAATTTGGCTGATTTCCACCCCATGAAAAGTTGGGATGATTCTTCCAATTTGGATTGTAAGTGTTCCCATATTGTGCATGTTGATTTATTGGACCGCTGCTATGTTGCCCCACATAGTATATGAATTCAGGATTCGTGGGGCACATGTCACTCATATGACTGTCACCACATAGTTCGCAACAAATAGACATTTGTTGTACATGTTGCATATGTTGTGTTGGTTGCACTGTCATTCTATTCATCTGATTTGCCAATTTTGCTATATCGGCTCTCATGGCTGAGAATTCATCAAGCTCAACCAATCTGGCTGCTTTCTGTTTAATTGCCCTTCATGAATCCCCATCTCCTTGCCAATTATGATCATTAGTAGTGAAGTTATGTAGCAAGATTTGGATTTTAATATACGGTTTCGCCATGCAACTACCCCCACAAGCTGAATCAAGATTCATCTTTGATGCATCATCTAGCCCATCAACAAAAGTGTGACCCAATACCTCATCAGTCTGACAATGATGTGGGCACTCTCTGAGTAGCTTCTTGTATCTTTCTCAAGCTTGACGAAGTGTCTCGCCATGCCGTTGTTCTAACCCAAGAATCTGACTCCTCAATGATTTTGTTTTCTTAGTGGGGAAAAACATGATTAAGAATTTCCTTGATAGATCATCCCAAGTGTGGACTGAGTTCGCGGGCTCCTTTTGCAACCATTCCTTAGCTTCCCCCAGCAGTAAAAAGGGGAAAAGTGTCAGCCTGACATAGTCCTTGGAAATATTCGGATAATTGTAAGTGTCGTAATTTCCAAGAAATTCTGAATGTGCCTCTGCGAGTCTTCATGAGATAGACCCACATATTGCCCTGTGGACTGAATCAGTTATACCATGTACTGTTTGAGTTCAAAATGCCCTGTGATCTCAGGCTTCACAATATCATGAGTCATATTAGCATGATTGGGCCTTGCAGCTTCAATCACCACACACTCTACATTACCTACCATCTCTATTGGTTGTGGTTGAACTACGATGTCCAACTCTTCTTCTATTCTAGTTCTAGATTCAACTTTCCTCCTCACTCTGTGAAGTGTTCGTTCAATTTCAGGATCAAGGGGAAGGATATTGTTTGCGCTTCTACTCCTCCGCATTCAAGAGAAGAGTCTGTGTTTACACAAACAAGGTAAACTGAAAATTAAAACTTGAACAAATAACTAATAAAAGCTCAACTCAGTCAAGTAGCTAATTTCTAAGTCCCCGGCAACGGAACCAAAAACTTGTTACGACCAAAAACACTCACGCAAGTGTACACAATCGTCAAGTAATAAAGTAGTGAGTAGAGTATCGTTCCCACGAAGACTTGTGATTAATTGTTGACTGATTCAAATTCTACTAACTTATCGATTCAAGAAATATTTCACAAAATATAGAAGTGACTAATTTACTACCTAAAACTATCAAGCAATGAATTAACTAGAAATCAACCGAACAAATAGAAATTTCAAATAACAATCAGTAGGAGAGAATATTCCAGTGTCACGGGTTAGCTAACAATCGTGTTGCGTTCTTGGCTTAAAATGATTAATTGATTTATCTGGATTGTTGATTGACAGGGTTGATATTGCTTATAAGAATCTGTCGAATTCTTACTGCTATTCAAGCTAACTTAATTCTTATATGTCTATGGAATTAAGATTAACAAAAATGCATTTATACTTCCTGTATTTCAACCAAGCAAGACAATTAGGTATATGTCTATCCTAATTGCGAATCCATTCCTCGATGCCCGGGTTCAAGAACTTGCTCTATTTAATTCTATATGCAATCTAGAATTCCCACTTTCGAGTTCAACTCTAGATTCACATATAGTATTTCACTGTTAGCTACTCAGTAAAATAATTAAGAACATAATTAAATAAATAATCCAATACGATAAATCAACTTCGTCAAATTAAACTTCAAACATCAACATTCATATTTCACCCATGACCCTAGAACAATAGGGTTCTTAGCCGTGCATGCTCATAGTAACAATTTCAAGTAATTCCCAAGAATACATAAAATCAATAAAAGAAGGTGTTTTTGCTTATATATTGCGTACAAAAGTCGTGGGCCAAAGTTCTCCTACTCCTAGTCCGAATCAGCTTCAGGGAATGATGCTAGGGTGGATGTTTCGCATCCACCTTGTCCTCCGCTTCTCAGCTTCACATGCTAGGGTGGATGCTTCGCATCCAACCTTTGTTCCTCCATCTCAGCTTTGCTCAGGTGCAGATGCTATGGGGATTGTCACACCTCCTTTTTACTACACCGCGCAAAGGGCGTGAAGGAGTTTTTCCAATTAAAGGACAATCGGAACGGGATTTAATTACTAATTATTCAGATTCGCCACTTGAGAGATTAATGGTGTCCCAAGTCACCGATTGAATCCCGAACCGAGGAAATTTATGACTCTGTTAATAGTCCGCGTACTAGAAATCCGAGTAAGGAATTCTGTTAACCCGGGAGAAGGTGTTAGGCATTCCCGAGCTCCGTGGTTCTAGCACGATCGCTTAACTGTTGTATTTGATTTTATCTGATTTTTAATACTTGTTAGCTTATGTGCCTTTTATTTGTAAACCGCTTTTTATCATTATTTATTCTAAAAGAATTACTACGTCGTGAAAACGCATTTCGAACCACGTCGCAATCAATGCACCTGTGGTTGTCAACACATTTCGACTTCATCGAGATTTGGATTTGGGTCGCATCAATACACACCCGAGTTTTAAGAAAATGATTTAATTAAATCACGCCTAAAGATTCTAACGTAATATTATTTGGGGAAGGCCGTGAAGTTCGCTAAACGGCCCTCCCAAATTCTAATCAATTATAATAACCAATTACTGAGGGCCCCATTTCCATTTCTAGATGTTGAGCGCCAGTCAAGCATCGATCTGTCCAGACTTCAACGGAGTATCAATTACAATTGCAATCACACGTATAAACACACATTAATCCTTCGCAACCACAGTCTAATTTCAGTTGCAATATATGCAGGAACAATTCCAAATTATTTGTATTCCACACTTATAATAGAGGAGACCGTGATTCAGCTTGAGGAATATACTAAACCATCCCGATTTTAACGCAACACTCGGATTATTTCTACTTACCCTTAGATATTATTAAGGCAAATGAAACACGTATACTGAAATATTAAAGAAGGCTCAAATGATTGCAATCTCACACCACTCTAACAGCTATCACAGGAGAGTTCCAAGACCTGGATTAATTGCCTATTTCAGACTACCTTTTGACATTTACAATTGAATTTAACAAGAACAAGGTTAATTCTAGCTCGCCCCCTCAAACTAACCAATTAACAAATCCTAGATCCCTAAACATCAACTGCTAAATACACAACGACTTGGACAGTCCCAATTATCAGTCCTTGTTATTACAAATAAGTTATTGGCTCGAATCAACACCAACTTAAACAATTATTAACAGTCAAACAATTTAAACAAACTAAACTATGGAAAAGCAATCATCACACAACATTTTCAAAGGCAACAGAATTCCAGTAGCATTCTCATTCTCTCCACTTCAACTTGGAGTTACATAGATGCAAGTCAAGGAAATGTACCTGGGAATCAAAATTCAACAGGAAAGAGAAGAAGTTAGCACAGCAGCAAGGAGCAACACTCAACCAGCCAGGAATCACAAAGTCAACACCAAACCACACCTTCAACAATCACAAACCACCACCGAATATGACTAAATCCCACTCTAATTAGACCATTAACCAATCCCAAGTAGTTTTCAGAACTTCAGTCGTCAACTCATGAATGAAGAGCAATGAATTAACAACTACATTCGAGATATATCCTCGGTTTCAATAGAACAATTTCTGATACCCTTTTTTTTAGAGTTTTTTTTTATTGTTTTTTTTTTTTGAAGTTTTGAGTTTTTATTTCAAATCCCAGATCTGAAATTTAGAGAACATACTTTTGGGGGAATTTTGGGCTCCCAAAACTTGTGTGTGAAGGCATGGGAATGCCCTTTTATAGGCAAAGATAAGGGCAGCCCTCCAATTTTCTGTTTTCAATTTTAGTCCCTTATTTCCCAACTTGTTCCCCAAGTAACTACTACCAAAATTATTAAAACTTACACTAAAACCCCATATGGAATGTCTTGGAAGTTCTTTTAGCCATACAATGCCTATACTACCCCTGCCCTGATTTTGAAGTTACCAAACTTACTAAAAGTTACCCTTTCCCATGCCTACACTACCCTTACTTTCACTATGGAATTACTACCCAACCACAGCCCTTTTA